GAAGAAAACCTTTCAAACACCCGTAGTCCGTAAACTTCACACGTGTCGGACTGTGATTGGCAAGGTCTCCTAAAATATCAATTTCATAAAAAACGGAACGTATCTACCATGTTATAAAGGGGGTCGACTGTATTTTAAATTGTAAAGTATTACGAAATAAATATAATAAACATTCGAGTTATATTTTGCTAGTTTTAAAATTATTGTTCGAGGAATATAAATAAAACTGGTGATATTTAAGACACCAGATTTAAATAATTGCGAAAATACAATAAAAATAAAACACCAACCAAAGAGAGATTTGTTTAATTTTATTAAAATATTAGATAATTTACAATATTTTAAAACTTTTTAAAGTTTTTATAATTTTTTTCATTTTCAAAATTTTATAAATTATTTACAATATTTAAATTGAATTTTGAAGACAATAACAAAAATATATTATTGTTATTCTAATCAAGTGTAGTAATAACTACACGGCAAATTGTACGCATTTTCCAATCTGCATACAATCTTCGTTCAGAAAAATATTACATTTTCCGTCTCAAGCAAGGAAAAAGTAAATCTCCAAACCTGCGGAGAACACGTCTGAACACGTCCAGGCATCTTGTTACGCCCTAAAAAGAATTTGAAAAGTTTTTCAAAAATCAACAATCAGGTCATTTAAATATATTTTGTACATAATTAGTAAAATTAACGCTACAATTTCAGTTAATTAGATTTAAACATAATGAAAACAAAAAAATTCAAACATAAATTTTTAAAATACTAAGTGAATCTTTTTTACACAAAATTTTATAACTGTGATTAAATATATTACTTTTTCAATACAGTCGTATTAGAATATGAAAATTTTGTTGCATAATATTAATCAGATTTTAAATATAAACAAAAAAATATTTTCTCACTTTCTTTTCCGTTTGTGGCTTGGCTAAACATTCAGATCCACCATATTTGATTTCTTCCAAATCTGTTTTATTTAAGATTTGGTTTGTGTCTTTTTCGTCTTGCTTATGATTTTCTGTGAAATCAATTTTATAATTTAAAAATAAGTCATTTATTTATTGAAAATTATAATATCGTCATTACGTATATACACAATATTAAATAACAATAAAATAAAGCAGACAAAAGGATTTCATTCGTAACGATACATCACAATGGTACAACTGATTTTTTATATATTAACGGATTATCAGTGTTCTTATCAACAATATAACTCCCTTACAAAAATTTAATAATATTATATTGGTAACAAGAAGTCCTTCCGTTGGTATATTTTGATTTAGAAATAATTTTATCGCCTACACGAACTGCAATTGTTATATAAAATGCATATTAATTTCTAAATCACGCAAATAAATATTACACAAAGTTATGAATTATAATGTGTTAAGATGTTATCTGTTTATGCAATTANTTTATATATATATATTAACAAATTATCAGTGTTCTTGTCTCGCTTACTAAAATTTAATAATATTATATTGGTAACAAGAAGTCCTTCCGTTGGTATATTTTGATGGATAAGAAATAATTTTATCTCCTACACAAACTGCAATTGTTATATCAAATGCATATTAATTTCTAAATCACGCGAATAAATATTACAGAAAGTTATGAATTATAATGTGTTAAGATGTTATCTGTTTATGCAATTATTTAATGTCAATGTTAACGCGACTTGAATAAAAGTCGATAAAGATTAAGAAATCAATGTCTTGTGTGTTATATTATTAGTGTTTTATGATTTATTGTTTGTAATCTTAGTGTTTTATTGTGAGATTTAAATTGAGTAATATAGTAACATCAAAACAAAGAAAGAGGGACTAATGCCCGAAACGCGACTTGTAAATTGCGTCCCAACTGAATAAAAAGATGAATAATCTGCCAAGTGTTGAAAAAAGTCACTGTAGTGTGTCTGTATAAAGCAAAGTAAACTAAAACACGGTTTCATCAGAATAAAAAAAAAATTATTTTTCATTAGAAAAAAAAATTTGTATACATTAAAGAAAGTTCTAAAAGTGTTACATCAACTTTAATTTTTTATGTATATAATAAACAATTAAAGCAAATAAACTTGAAGGACTGAAGATGTGCAAATAATATCATGCCTAATAATTTATTTAATATATTTCAAAATTACTTTTATACCTAGATATAAGCAAGGCGAATGAAAATGTTGACTTCTACAAACAAAGAGAAAATCAAACATAAAATATCGAATATTTGTGGTCTTACCTTCATCAAATTTTTCTAATCCGATTTCATCTCCTACGGCGTTTTCATTAGTTTTTGAAACTTTTATATTTAGATCAAATTGATTTTCATTTAATTTAATGGCGACAGTTTCATTTTTCGATATTTCTTCACTTGTATCAGATAATTCTTTAATTAAATTTTCTTCAATTATTTTTGTAGAATTATCCACCGAAGAAAATTCGTCTGCAAGGTTTTTGTCATTTTCCGCAGGTAATTCGTCACAAATTTCGTACATTTCTGTTGTTAAATCAGATTTGTCTGATTCGACATAAACAGAAGACGATGTTGGGCTGATAAATACTAATTCACATGTTTGGCGAACCGGCAAATGACCTCGAACTATTATAACATTTTGATACATAGTACAATCGTCAGATACTTTGTTTTCGTTTGTGGTATCAGGAACGTCACCTTCAATTGACATCGTATCTGATTCCGTGCTATAATCAGTTTCGGACAGAGCATCTTCATAGTCAAGCTCCTCCTCTTCGTATATTACTTCACATACTAACGAATTTTCTTCCAGCTCCAGAAACGCTCTATATAACGGTCGTAGTGTATAACTGCCGTTTACAATCGATGTGATTTGTGCTGGAGACAATGGAGTTTCTGGCACGTTCTTCTGAAAAATGAAATTTCATATTATTTCTTAAACATTAAATGAACCTCAATTAAATAAACGTTTAACAGTTTATTGTAAACTAATAGCCTAATGGCTAAGCTAATTTAATAACATTCATAGGCATGTATTTTTACAAATACATAGTAAATAGTTTGTTGAATTTAACAGCAGGGCATAAAATGTATTTCGGACACTTGTGTTACTAATGATACATAAGGCAAAAAAAAACATTTAAAATGTTAACACGTTTTTTTAATTTATTGTATTGTATAATATGGTGATTTAGTGCTATAATGTTTAAAACGTAATCTGTAAAGTTGTCGACAGCGTGATTTAAGTATTTTTATTGAGTACATTGTATTGAGTGTATTGGTTTCTTTAGTATTTTGTTGCGTATCGGCGTTTATAGTATTTTATTGTTTTGATGATTCTATTAGCTTATGGATGTTTGTATGAGTTTTGTAGAAAATATTGTTGTCCTATATATTTCGATTGCGTCCATCTGGCTATCAGGTCTTCCTTAATTTCCAAAACAGTGTGTTATGTATATGAAAGCCGAGACTTAATATAGAAAGTGCAGTGGAAGATGGTCCAGATTGGCTATGTAATAACTTTCGGTTCGGGCAGAAAGCCATGTCGATTTAAAGTATTCTCCAGAATGGAGTTACATAGACGATTATCAGGAAAAGTGTGATGTACAGGGGCAAGATACTACTAAGTTGAGATTGAGAGTTTTTCAAAGTCGCCATCGTTTTTCATTTTACTTTGTGACTGGATACGACACCGTTTTATAACTGCTTTTACATCAAATTTATTGATAAATGGTTATTTTTATAGGTACCGATACTAATTATTAAAAAGATTAAATAAAATAATAGCGTATAAATATTAGAAATAAAAAAGAAACAAATAACTAATCTATATCGAATTCCAATAAATATATTTTGAGTAATACTTAATACTATAATAATGTTGTATTTATTTAACTTAATACTTAATAATGTACTTAATACTATAATAATGTTGTATGCTATATTTATCAATATTCAATGTATACATGATATTAGGCATAAAAAAGTTACTGAAATAAAATAATTTAATTTAAGCTTACACTTGGAGACTCTTCTGTAGCGTTGNACAATTTTTTTTTTTATAGAGAAATAAAGGGATATCATGAAAAAAACGTATGTTTACTTAATACAAGTATTGTCAGACATGTTGTTATACGGTTATTTAATATGTGTAGTTTACATATTTTATTTATTTATAAATCATATCTAAATTTCATTATTATACATTGAAATAATCGAATGTATAATTCTCTAATTATATCTAAACGCTTATTTCATTAAACATATATCTACGGAAAGTTTAATGACTTAACAACAAATAAATACTTAGTTACATAAATACTATAATTTCGTAAGTAAAGTTTGTCCAGCAATATCGATAAATAATATAATTTAGATAAAAGAGTAAATATACAATAACATTTCGCTCAGTGAATAAAACTGCTGATATATAGAAAGAATTAANTGTATTTATCAATATTCAATGTATACATGATATTAGGCATAAAAAAAGTTACTGAAATAATATAATTTAATTTAAGCTTACACTTGGAGACTCTTCTGTAGCGTTGAATTTACTAAACGTATCTTCATTTTCGCTGTTTGTAATTGTATTTTCAGAGAGTTTATTATGTTTGTCTTTTGTAAAGTCTTTCTTCGAATTATTAACACATTCCGAAGAACTGTTATCATCCAAACAAGTTTCAGTCATTTCACTTTGATTAGAGTCTTGCATTTGAAACCCACAAACTAAAGTAAAGCAAAACGTGAAAAGTGATTCAACAAAGCTTAGTTTAGGAGAATATAAGTTTTATATAGTCAATAATGTAAAATAAATATAAGAAAAAATCACAATTGTATAGTGCAATAAATATATCGAGTCAATATTCTTAAAAAATGTTCTCACAGTTACTTAAATTTTCAGAATATCCAAGTCCTTTTGTTTGTTTTTTTAATACTTTTAATGCATGGCGAAGTTTAAAACATATTCCTTTACATCATTAATGTTATTGTAAAATGTGATTACGTTTTGTTTCAAAATTTATCGAATGATTGAAAACCATAAAAATTGTATTATTATCATCGTGTTTTAACTAACTTACTTGTAAATTAATTATAATCGTAAGTGTAACTAAAGATAAAGTATCAATGATTATTTATGCAATGTTCAAATAAAATAGCTGCGTGTTTTGTAGCGCGATATGATCAGAGCTCATCATAATTCGTTAGTAAATTTTGATAAAAAATATAAAAATCTATTAATTAATATATTAATCTGAAACGTACGTTACAAACTTATAAAAATTCTAATTTGTAATTGACAGTTCATTTGTTTATGTTAAATTTGATGTTAAATTATTAACAAAATTTTCTAAATTTCTAAATTTTTCCTAAGTAAATTGTTAAAATTTCTTGCATAGAGTATATTTATCAGTGAGAGAGAATCTGTGAATATAATCTTACGTAACTAATAAGGGAACAACACAATGCTTATAATTTCTCATAAAGGGAAATAAGAAGGAAATCGTCGAGAAAAAGTTATGTTTACTTACACTGTTATACGCTGCAATTGTCATACATATGGTTATACGATTATTTAATATCTGCCTTAAATCTTTTATTTACAAATCAAATCAAAATTGAAAAAATTTACCTTTTTGTAGCTGATGAATCGTTTCTGATGAAAAGTGGTTTTGTTCTACTGCATTTACAGAATTAAGAGCTGCTGACTCATATCTGGGAAACTCTGTTGGTTCTTCGTATTCGGTAAGTATAGATGGCATCTTTCCATCTTCAAGTAACTCTGGCTCCGGACAATGTTCCAGCATTTGTGTTGGGAGCGAGGGCTGCTGGAGTTCTGCCAGCGGTTCATACACGCTTATTTCCGCAGTTAGCCAATTTTCAGTTACATCTGGTTGAGGCCCACAATTAATAATTTCTGGGGCAGGCCAATGTTCGTTTAAATTTGAGTGTGGCCCATTTCCGAAATTTTCTATTTCCGGCAAGTGTTGATTTGTGTCCGGTTGCGGTCCATATCCAACATTTTGTGAATTTGGCCCATTTTCATATATATTTTGATACGGCCCATATATATAATATTCTGGACCCGGCCACTGTTGATTTATATCCACTTGCGGACCATATCCAACAATTTGTGAATCTGGCCCATTTTCATATATATTTTGATACGGTCCATATATATAATATTCTGGACCCGGCCACTGTTGATTTATATCCACTTGCGATCTATATCCAATATTTTGTGAATCTGGCCCATTTTCATATATATTTTGATACGGTCCATATATATAATATTCTGGACCTGGCCACTGTTGATTTATATCCACTTGCGGCCCATATTCAATATTTTGTGAATATGTCCCATTTTCATACGGTCCATATACATAATATTCTGGACCCGGCCACTGTTGATTTATGTCCGATTGCGGCCCATATCCATAATATTCTGAAGGTATTCCACTTTGTGGGCATTCTGTATTAGGCCCATATCCAGGCATTCCTGACCATAATTCATACGGTACATAGAATATTGTATACTGAAATAACATGAAAGAAATTGCGCTATAATAAAAATTTATTTGTAATTCGTATCTTAAGTTTCTATCTGTAATAATATAACAGTATATGTCAGCAGACAGCCAGATTGCACAACCAGATAGTTGAGTGATTAAGGTGTCAGCCAAACATTATGAAAGTATTAAATTTCATTGAGAAATCTCTAATATAATAATAATAATAATTAATATCCGAATTGAAACAATGAATGATAAGTATAGAGTTAATGATTTATGTGTGATTATACTGTAGTTCTTCACATTGCATAATACGTTGATAATAATTCTAATCATCAATATCAAATAAGAATTTGAATATGAAGAATATAAGGTGTAAAGTAGTATAATTAATGCATTTTATAAAAAGATTGCAGTCTCAGTAGACTTAAAATACCATTCGAAATGCATATGTGTAAAAATTGAAATAAATTATCTGAAGTTTTCAATATAATCGTTAAGTAATATTCAATGAAACTTATACAGAAGTGTTTGTTTTATTTTTCCTAGCCACATTCAACAAGAGGTACAGTACTACTTCATACAAGAATAGGAATATTGTAAATTGTTTGCCAGTGTTAATTCTGACTTCTAGAGAAGTTGAAATTTAACATCACATCTATTACAAAATTATTTGTATTTTTCTGTTTTTTATTACGAAATTTAGTCAAGATATTTAAAAATGTGAAGAGGAAAGTTTTGGGTATTAAAACACAATTTATAATTGCTCTTTTTTGTTAGCCAATGTTCTATAATTATATGAAATTTATTGAAGTTATTAAAGTTTTTTTAATGTACTGTATTTCTGAATTCATAATATCGCAAAAATAGTGTTTAGTGCATGTTGAAAATCAAATGCATGCACGTTATATTTTAACTACGTAAAATACTTTTTACGTAGTTAAAATATAACGTGCCTGCATTTGATTTTCAAATGTAAATATAACATGCATACATTTGATAGTTATGCAATTTGAGTTTAGATTCAATTTAAATATTATTTATTCTACGTTTATCTATGACATAAATTAAAACTTCCTACTATACTCACTTGATAAGCATACACAACATAATTGTCATATCCAAATAACGAATAAATTTCATTAGAAAAGCACTGAAAATCTGTGAAGAAATATTTTATAATTATTATTTGTCTATTTTCTAACAGACTACTAATATACTTAATTGTGTTAATGAAACAATAAACTGTAAATAACAAAGCTGCAATTCACGATCAAGTTCTTGATAAATGCTAAAGTGTATTAATTTGCTTTTATTAAAGGTATTATAAATAATGGCTTTAATGATAAATTGTATTAGTAAATAATTAAGCATTTATATACAGCTTGCTGAGAGATTTTGGTATGACACATAACAGATATCAATCTAGAGGTGAGATCACATCTGAGATTAATTGCATTATCTCTCACATATCTCACATATAAGCAAATTTGACATTTAAGATTATTAGATGCCTTTAGATGCGTTTTACTAGGTCCTCCCCTCTTCCGAGACTAATTAGAAAACTTTTAGACGGGTCTAAGTAATAAGTTAGATTTCCTGCAAAAATACAAAAACCGCATCTAAAATAGTACAGTAGAAGACGGGTGCTTCAAGCAATTTTTAATTCTCTTTTTCTCCCCCGCGAGGGGAATTTCCAAAAATTTCATTTTGGTGTGCCTTCTAACGACGTACCCTAACTGTATAGCTAATTTCAAGTTTCAATCTTTTGCCGTTTGGGCTGTGTGCTCATTATCAACCCATCTCTGTTATACATATACACGTATATATTCTAAAATCATTTTAGTTTCAATATTAGATAAAACTGCAAAGGAAAATTTTTATATTCATTATTTCCATATTAGTCTATTTAATACATCTTCACGAATATAAATAAGAAAAAATCCCGTTATCTTTTTTGAATTTCAAATAAGGATTGATTTATAATGCAAATGTTATTAATGACATTAAACATTCCATTGAAAGCAAATAATGCAGCATTTCATTATATATAATAATTACATTCATCTTTTTAAAAAAATTAAAAAAAAGTTTTAACGCTTTTTTTAAATGTTAGGACAATAACATTGTTCATTATCGCATTATGGACACGTTGTCAACTAATCAGTGTAATTACGAACATAAGAGAATTTAACTTACTTTCAGCATTCATTTTGGCAAAAATATCTCGCTTTCGAAAAAAATTGCGTCCGAAAACAATCGCTTCTAATCAACAATTGGATTTTACAATTGTTGAAATTATATTGTTAGCGCGTTTTATTAATGTCGGGGCGCCCCTAGCGGGAAAGATAGAAGCCCGCGTTTTTTTAAGCTGTGTTCTGGGGTTTTTTAATGGCGAAAGGTCTCTAAGAACTTGCATTCGCTATCATCTGACTGTATATTTCCAACGTATATAAAATTTATGTTTTGTTAACGCCGTGTCTAATTGAACCTCGTAACGTGGTGTTACAACATCCGGGCAGCCGATATGATAATGATATAAGTTAAGGAAATTTAGATACGGCGAATAGGGGTTTAAAAAAACTTGACGAAAACGTTCAGTGAACTTATGGCCGGGATTGATAAAACTGTGTTGGATCTTTTGTGGGGTCGTCTCGTTTACACTGACGACAAACTGTCGTCATTGTAGACGAGACAAACTGTATAGGTATTGTTAGATTCACTGGTAGTGGAAGAGATTGCCCTGAAGCCGATTCTGTATCCGACTACCAAAGAAGATATATGCTGACGGAAATCAGGTGAACATGCTAACTAAGGATGTAGATATTGGAAGTGTCAGAGGCTTCGCCGAAGTGTCTCAGCAGGTCCTAAATCACAGTATCGCTTGCCAAAGTTAGAATTGCTGAAATTTGATGGTAACCCTAGAGGGTGGCTGAAATTTTGCAGTCATTTTAAAGGAATTGATGAAAATGAAAGTATCTTAGCAGAGGATAAATTCCAGTATTTGGTGCAGGTCACTAAGGAGAAATCGAAGGCACGAGAGATCGCAGACAGTTTCTCAAGAAGTAGTTTTCTCAGTTTTTTTAACCATCATTCTCAGCGGTAGTTTAAATTCAAATCTAGATGTTCATAAAGTACAGGCTACATTTTATTCACTCGATTTTCGTAGTGTATACTTCTATTTATTTAATGAGCCTATAGTTGTAATATCCTACGTGTGGGAAGACGAATTATACTGTATTTGAAATGAATGTTGAACGGATCGTTTTTCTTTTGGTACGAAATAACACTTAATTGAAGAAAGGAAGAATATTTTTTTTCCTTTGTTCAATTAAGTGTTGTTTTCGAATATAATACGCTCACCACTTGCAAATACATAAGAATTAAATTTCGGTTTCAATATCCGATAGGAATTTCGAATTTACGACTCTCAATGCATTTGCTGAGAGAGAATTATTTTAATTACTAACGTTTTCAGTCTACTCCTCTAGGCCATCATCAGGTTTCTTAAAACCGTGTTTAGAGACTGTTCCACAAATAGAACATTCCATTTAAATTTTAACTGTGGAAGAATTCTAAATACAAAATTTAAATGTAAACGAGTTTAATAAATAACTTACGAAAAACTAGATGTTACCCGCGACTTCGCCCGCGCGGATTTTGCAAGCAAATCCCAATTATACATTATTAGTATTTCTCCTCTCCTCTTCTTCTTCGGTGGTGTTAATATGGAGATTTTAGCTCAATGTAGGCTCTTTCTCCGAATAGACTTGTGTGTATGATCGCTATGCGACCGATTTGCCGGCTGTATCGAACAGCCTATACGTACGCGCGGGAATTAATGCCTTCCGGGAGGACTTTTATGGGGAACTGGCCTCCTATTCAGTCGTTATTGGCAAGGAGAAAACCCGGAAAACTCCAAGCAGCCAGCCTGTCCAATCGCGGCGCGAACCCACGACCGAACTTCCCAGTGTTTAGGGTCTGGTCACCGCTATGAGCGGCAACGCAGGTATTAGTATTTCAAAAAACCATAGTAATTTTTATATAACACCTACCGCCGAGAAAGATGAGAATTGCTGAGAATCAAACAAACTATTTTCAATTTGATCAATTTTCTGGAACGTTTACAATCGTTCTATAATCGAACCAATATGCAATAACAAATTCGAATTTAAAACAGTTCGAACATTTGGTTAAAAAACCGAAATATATAAAAGTATTTATAACAATGTGTAAAATGTTATCAATTTATACACTTAAGTATTCAGTGAAGACTAAACGTAGTTCAAAACAAAAAAATCGCATCTAAAATAGTATAGTAGAAGCCGTTCTTCAGGTTAAGCCTTAACGGTCTCCCTCTTCCCCCGCGGGGGAATTTCGGAAAATCGCTTCTCACCCCCGTATTCACCAAAACGAGTTAGTGTTAACTCTCGAGTTATTGGTAAATTAGTATTCACCAACTCCGAATCTCGAGTCCCCTATACACAATAACCCTAACTCTATCTCTAACTCTAGAAAATCGGCGAGTAGACGATAACTCTAGGTTTGACGCCTGCGCAAAGCGATCTATTTCAGAGAAAAATGGCGACATTCGACGAAGACGAAGCCGAGATGCAAGAAAATCTGAAATATTTAGATTATATAGATCGTATGGAACGAAGAAGTCGGCGGATTATTTTTCCAAGAAGAAATGACCTCGAACAATTGGACCATTACGACTTTCTATGTCGATATCGTTTGCCAAAAGAGAGCGTAAGAAACCTACTAGAAGGAATTGGTCACAATTTAGTTTCTACATCATCGAGAAATTATGCAATGTCGCCGATGGAATAACTGTTGTTGGCTCTACGTTTTTATGCCACTGGAACATTTCAGTTGGTCGTAGGCGATTTAAATTATTTAAGTCAATCATCTGCGTGTAGAGCGATTAATAGAGTGAGTTTTTTAATTGCTCAACTCTCCTCAGATTATATTCAGTTGCCTAAAACAGAATCTGAAAGAACGCAAGTAAGTAGGCCTAACATTCCTTTATCTTTCGATACTGTAGTAATAAAATAATTTTTTCTTGTTTTTTTACAAGTTTCTATATTAGAATCATTAATTTAATTGTAATAATTATATATACAGTAAAGCCTCGATTATCCGATTCAATTGAGGACTGGAGTTGGTCTGATAATTGAAAAGTCGGATAACCGAAAAGTATGAAAAAATCCATTATTAGTGTAGTATATTATTATATCCCATGTAATTAGTATATTAGTATATCGCTATTAACCTACTTCGCGTTGAATTTTCATCGATGTTAAGCCTAACAAAAGTTTTTTAAAATAATAATCGTCGCTATTGTATCGTTAAAAATTAGAAAATTAAGCCTCGTTTAAATACTGGCTCCCTTTCATGGTCGAATGAGTGTTGCCAGCTAAAACACGTAAAAATAATATTAAAATAGCGAAGACATAGCCAAATATTGTAGCGCCACATCACTAGCGGACATTTGAAATTTGCCGACTAGGACGGTCGGTTAACCGAGGTGTCGGATAATCGAGGCTCTACTGTAGTCTTTATTCATTTAATTAATACATTACTTTTCAAAGTATAAACTGTAATAAAATATAAAAATAATAGATCAAGTATATATTTATATTTTCAGATAAGTCAAGACTTTTTTCATATGAGTGGTTTTCCATGTGTGTATGGAGCCATTGACTGTACCCACATTCCAATTCAGTCACCGGGAGGAGAAACTGCTGAATTATTTTGAAATAGAAAAGGATATTTTTCTATTAATGTTCAGACAGTTTCAGATAGCCAACTTAAAATCAGAAATATATTAGCTAGATGGCCAGGTAGTTCTCATGATAGCACTATATTTGCCAATAGTCATCTGTGTGCTATGTTTCAAGCAGGAGACATTCCATCGAAATATCATCTTCTTGGTGACAGTGGATATGGATGCAAGGCATATCTATTAACACCAATGTTAAATCCAGAAAGTGATCAAGAAAAAAGGTAATTATTAGTTTTATAAGATATATTATTAAAATATATTTAATGCATAATATAGTTTTAAATGATCATGTATATTTCAAAATTAATATAAATTATTTTTTCTTTGAAAGATATAACAGATGCCACATAAAAGCACGGAACACAGTGGAACGGCAATATGGTTTGTGGAAACGACGTTTTCCCTGTTTAAAAATAGGTTTACGTTGCAACCTACAAAATGCTATGGCTGTCATAGTTGCCACTGCAGTGCTTCATGACATTGCAATTTCACATGGAAATATGACAATTCCAACAGAATTTGATATTTCCATGAATGAAGATGTTCCGGTGCCTGTTGTGAGAAGTCAGAATGCAGCTCGATTTGCAAAGAGAAATGCATTAATAGCAGATTTCTTCAGAATTTAACTTTTGAAATGTTTGCTTAATCTTTTAAGGTTGTGCAAACATATTTCAGACATTATTATTAAATTAAAAGGCCTTTTTCAGAGCCATAAATTTTGCTTAAGAGTTTGCCAAATTTTTTACTTATACTGATTTAGCTGTTTTATTTCACCAAGCAAATGAAAAGTAGACAGGAATCCCGTCGAAAGGCAATATGGTTTATGACAGACATTTCCCATGCTTTTCTATTGGACTACACTATAATTTGCAGAATGCAGTGCATATTATAGTTCTCCACAATATTGCACTACAAGATGAAAGTATAGCATTATTTCATGATGATGATAATGCTCATTTTTTAACTTTAAATGTGCCTGTACAACTATGTAAATACCAGAAATGTTCAAGGTTTTGTGAAAAAGATGCAAAGAAAAGATTTAGAATTTTTTGTTTAATGTTAAAATAAATATTTCATATATTTTAAAATAAAATTTTGTTTTTTTGCTGTTTCTTTGCAGACACACTAAGGTGACATATTTCAACACTTGGCAAATTATTCACTATTTATTCAGTTGGGACGCTTTTTACATTTCGCGTTTCGGGCATTGGCCCCTCTTCAGTCAACATAAAGCACAAATCACTAGTGTACAGATGTCGTACAGGATGGACAGTTTCATATATCACTTGGAGAACAAACTGGGTCGAGGATAACCGCTTGACTACTGGCTTTCGAATATGGCATTCTGCTGGCCACAGAATGCCATATTCGAAAGTAATAATTCGAGTAATAATTCTTTTTCAAAATTCGTGAAATTACGGCGAACACTACTATCCTCTTGACTTTCCACCATTTTCTACACGTGTTTGCTTTCAACCAATCAAGACGCTGCTTACGAAAGAAAACTTGTTTAACCTCAAACACAAGATTGTTTTAAAATATTAACTCTAGAGTTTCGAAACTCTAGAGTTATATTTTTATCTGATTACGAAAAAAGAGTAACTCGTAATCTGACTTCGAGTTACATCTAAACTCGATTTCGTCAACTCTCTGTTTAACTCGTGTTGGTGAATACG